TATTACTACCTGTAACAAACCTTTTTATAAATCTAACACTCTACTTGCACTTTAGAAAAGATTCGAAGTTCCGGAGACTGTAGGTGCGCAATTTTTAGAAGAAACGTCTGGAAATTTAGTGGTTAATTGTACAGTCTCCACAACTCTCTACTAGACTGTTACATTCCATTGCCCTTGGTTTTTCAAAAATCTAACCAAAATTCAAGTCGAATTGTATAGTTTTAAAGATCTCTGCTGCTATTTTCGCTCTTGCAAAATTCATGCTTTTAATAGGTTTAGTTGGAAGAAATGTCATTCGCTTATTTCTAATTTGCTGATGATTTGATTTCGACGTTTGAGCAACGAGTTTTTTTTCTTCCAATAGTCGTTCAGAAAAACCCGAAGTCATTGCAACAGCGACAATTCATTTGATTGCAGAGTGCAACAGTTTCTTCTTCTTTTCACAATCTCAACCGAAGAAATCATTTGTCTTATTTCCTTTTTATTGAAGTTATTGTTCCTTACAAGCAGTCTTGGACATTAGGTGGAACTGCCAGTCTCAATCACTACAGGACTTCTTCAATCTATAGAATCCTGTTTATTCGGAGCATAGGTGTATCCGACTTTTTTTCTATTTTTGGTTTTCAGGGACAAAATAGGATACTGTACTTCAAATTCTCACTATTTTTAAATGGCTTGTTTTTCACAAATTTTGATAACAGATGTATGACCTTTTGCGAGTGTGACCACCTTCTCCGCTTTCTCGCCATTGATCAAATGTCCGCTTTCTTTCTATTAAAGTTGTCGTTTTTTCATTTCACTTTCTTTCCATCTGGTCATAGCCAAAAACTCGTCTCATCAGCAATGCTCTGTTGTCTCGGGTTTGACTGGATTACTTATCAATTAGAAAACTATTTTTTATCTTTTATTCATTAGATATATCTGCCTTTTCGTCCTATCATTCCCCTCACTCTTAAAGAACCGTTCACCATAAACTGGGCTCTTATACTCGACCGGTACTATTTATAGCTAACACTTTAATATGATAGCACTTTTATGCCCTCTTCCTCTATCTAACATGCATTTTTTGTTCCCCACGTGTCCATTTCAATAGCTTGGCAAAAGAAACCGGGAATCTATTTATATTCATCTTCAAAGCATTGACAATAACGATATTAAAGCAACTATGCACTGTGAACCAGTTTGTGCATACATAGATATGCTTACGATAAGAAAACTTGCTATTCTGCTTTACGCCAAGAACGTCGTCGAGACTCTTTGATTAGCTTTTTTGCGTTGATCTCTGGAATTTCTGCACATTCATACTTCATAATTGAGTTTTAGGTAATTTATGAAGGTCCATGTTACCGACAGCATATGTAACTTCGTCAAAAATGAGAAAAGTGAGTGACATTTATTCCACTTCGTGCTGAAAAACATACAATAACGACTTAAAATACTGTACTTCCTAATAATTTTAATTTCGCATTGCTGTTTTGCTGTCCATTACGTCATCACTTAAATCAAAATAGTTTTTTTGTATGGTAATGAAATATTATGAGCCTTCTTCCTAATTTTGGACAACAGCGACTTAGAAGAGCCATTCTGATTATTTCTATTTTAGCCCATGCTCCTCGGCTCACAGCCCGTGTGGTGCTAACTGCTATCCTGGCAGTGCTTGGTGGTGGATTTCATTTCGGATTTCAAATCTCTATAATTAATCCAATGGCTGAGATATTGCAGACTTTCTTGCTGGAAAATTTTCATAAGTGAGTTAATGGTTTTTAGATTTGTACCCACAATCCCTCAAGCAAAATTCATATGTGGCGAAATTTACTTCAAATGTGAAAATTTTTTACTTGATATTTTTCTCCCTGCAGAAGATACTCCTACACGCTGTCACAATCCGATTTGTCTTTAATTTGGTCAACAATTGCCGGTTCTCTTTTCATTGGTGCCGCATTTGGAGCCTATCTTATGTCAAAGATTTTGGATCTTTGGGGTCCTAAATTTGGTATCCTTTGCTCAGCAATAGTCAGTTCATCCTTCTTATAAAATACTATTCATAT